TATATATATATATATATATATATAGTGCACGGCACAAAAACACGCATGGAAGAGCCACGATGTGCCAGAGGTGTACGAATCAATGATATCGAGCAACTTTACGAGGATTAAAATCTTCAATAAGGCCTTATTGAAATAAATGGATGGTCAGTTAGAGGCATGACGTACTATCAGCGTCAAATGAAACCGCGGACAGGCACGCATGTATGCGCAGAGCTGCCGAACAGGATGCGTGCGCGCCTATCAATGGTGATAACTGGATGTACTTCACTGTCGCGAAAGGCTTGCCGCTGTTCCGGTTTCATTTGACGCCGATAGCACACGCTTCAGCGTCTATGCACGTGCTAGTTCCCGGTCTAACAAAGTAGTGCTCACTTTTTTTTTTCTTTTGCGAAGAAGCAGCGCACAAAAACGCGTATATAAAATGACGCAAACAGAAGCGCTGTAGTGCAACGGGTATGTTTTATTTACGGAGTACCCGGCTTATATATGTAACACGGACATGTGCACTTACAGCACTGAGTACAACAAACACCACAAAAGAAGAACAAATAAAGGCACCGAAAAGAAGACGCAATTCTGATGATAATAAAAACAAGTATCGGCGTGTTTTTTTGTTGTTTTTTAAGAGAGAATGGTACAGAGGGGAAACAATTATGTGTCCATTCGTCGATTTTCATTGCTTCGAGTATTTCCCTGATCCGTTTTCTTCTTGCGTTCCTAAATTACGCACAGCATCCGAGCCTGTTATAGAGTGGGAGCACAGCTACAATCTTTATACAATAGAAGGCCCCGCAAGGTGCGGGTTCGAATCCCGGCTGCGGCGGCTGCATTTCCGATGGAGGCGGAAATGTTGTCGGCCCGCGTGCTCAGATTTGGGTGCACGTTAAAGAACCCCAGGTGGTCCAAATTTCCGGAGCCCTCCACTACGGCGTCTCTCATAATCATGAAGTGGTTTTGGGACGTTAAGCCCCACATATCAATCATCAATCAGTAGAAGGCCAAAAGTGCCGAGAAGTGACGGTATGAGGAACCCACCCGTATGACCAATGTAAACCTTCTTACAGGTCAAAGAGATCTTGAAGATTCTTCCCTAGCATGCGACGGACGGGTGCTTGATTTTGCACCGTTCACATTTCTTGCGGAGGCCCGGCAATCGCACTGGTGCTGAGAACACTATACGTCGACACCAGATAAACCTTTCGCAGACACTTCGAAATGGCATGCCGGTGGTCCCTGCTTGCAACAGCGCTTGCTTAATCTGTCTTTTTGCGCAAGCACTCTGCAATACTTTTGCAAGCATTCTGCCTCGGGCAATCTGGGTGTCCGTCTAATCTGATTTCGGTTACAGAGAGCTTGCAAAAAATTACAAGTGCTGTCGCAAGTATACAAACCGCCGGCGCACGGTGCGGTGGTGATACATATCTTGCATCCGGATTCGCTTCTCGCTTCTGTGGCAGAAAATATAGAAGAGAAGAAAAGGCCCATAAGAAAAGAAAGTGATGATCGCAGGGACAACAGCAAGCGCGTCGAAATTGCGGTGATCCCTTACATACACCAGCTATCGCGCCGGATGACGCATATATATGTGTGCAGGTTATTGTTGTTTTTTGCACACCACAAACTTTTCCAGCTTGCCGAACCGATATTTGCAAACACTAAGCCTAAACGCTCCTGCAATGTCAGGCACAAATCCCAATTTGTCCGATGTGTCATGAAACCCCGCCGCGGTGGTCTAGTGGCTAAGGTACTCGGCTGCTGACCCGCGGGTCGCGGGATCGAATCCCGGCTGCGGCGGCTGCATTTGCGATGGAGGCAGAAATGTTGTAGGCCCGGTAGATTTGGGTGCACGTTAAAGAACCCCAGGTGGTCGAAATTTCCAGAGCCCTCCACTATGGTGTCTCTCATAATCATATATGGTTGTTTTGGGACGTTAAACCCCACATATCAATAAACAATTCTACGGAGGTTGTGTGCAATGTTGGAACGCAGGAAGGAAACGAGAGAAATACTCGAGGCAATGGAAATGGACAAGTCAAACGAAAAGATAAATGTGTCAGTTGCCCCTCGGTATTTTCTAGAGAAGCGGCTGCTGTGTAATCTATATAGTACGTACTGTTTGAAATCTGTATTACAACCACGTGTACTTTACGGTGCTTTTAAATGCGAATGAAATGTGACTGTCTAGAGTATAGTAGACAACGACTGTGCCTTCGCAAGGAACTCGGCAAATTAAATAACCAACCTCTGTAGGAGGAAAGAATTTTACAATATCGACAAGATGCAACTTCACAGAAAAAGGCCCTAAAAGTGCTACTGCACTTTTTGCCATCGACCGGCCTTTCAGCAGAAATGTTGTAGCCAAAACGCCCTTCCTGTGTACGTTTTCGTTTTCTAATGACTACACGAGCGTTTTTTTTTTTCTTCTTTTCTCTCTCTATATCCACCCCCTCTTTCTTGCCTCTATTTTCTCACCCCCAGTGCTGGGTAGCAAACCGGATGCCAAGCATTTCTTAGCGAACTTCGGCTACTTTGAGCGTATCTATCTATCTATCTATCTATCTATCTATCTATCTATCTATCTATCTATCTATCTATCTATCTATCTATCTATCTATCTATCTATCTATCTATCTATCTATCTATCTATCTATCTATCTATCTATCTGTCTATCTATCTATCTATCTATCTATCTATCTATCTGTCTATCTATCTATCTATCTAGCCACCTACGACTTTAAGCTCTCCGGACCGTTTCGATAATGGTATCGATATCAAAATTGGAGTGGCATAACACGACATATATGTATAACATGAATGTCATGATTTACATTTCATGGCCTCGCTGCTCTTGCGATAGTTTCGTTCACATGACATTTCGCAAAACTGGTATGGTATGACATGACTGCATGACGAAAATGACAGAACCTAACGTGGAAATCGTGGCATGTACGTTATGTAAGTCATATGGCTACATGTGCACGCCACGCTTATGATGCGCTCGCTTCGCTAGCTTCACATATACCAAACTTGGTATTACGGGACGTGAACGGATATCGAAGGAAGATTACTGATGCAAACGTGATAATCAAGAGATGCGTGTCACGTGTAAGAATATGACTAATGCCACGTGCACGCTCATGATATACGCTCGCCGCCGTTTCGCTAACTTCACATATACCAAATTTGGTATTACGTACGTGACGGCTGTGGATGACGAAGGTGCAAACATGATAATCATGAGATGTGTGTCATGTAAGAACATCACAACATGCTACGCTCATGATGCACTCGCGGTCGTTTTGCTGTCGTGAGTGGACGACGAAGGTAAATGACACGTCCAAACATGATAATCACGGCCAACGCTTCCTGTGCAACGCCTCCTGTAGTATAGGAGGCGTTGTCATGGCATGGATTCGAAGTCGTGCACGGCATAATTTAGGTCCGCCTCGTAACGTTGTGCTCATTTTAAAGTGGCATAAATCAATTGACCTTGCTCATACGTGCTTCGCATATATTATCGATTCCCACAGTACGTGGGATCTGCCAATGTTTTTATTTCGTGCGCGTGTGTTTGTGTTTTTTTTTGCGGTCTTTGTTGTATTCAGTGCTGTCAGTGCGCATATGCGTGTTAGCCTACACATTAAGCTGAATCTTTCGATAAGACATCATCAGTTGCAGTACAGCGCTTGTATTTGCGTCATTTTATAAGCGCGTCTCTCTGTGCCCTTTAAACGCCCGCGCGAACTTGCAAAGAGTATGGTTAATTAAACAACCCGCTCTCTGACCCCCCCCCCCCCTCCCAAAATGGAAGTTTGCCTACGTTACAGTGTCATCATTAATGTGGATAAACAAAAATTTGCCCTCGATTCTAACCCGATTTAACGGAAATAGCAGTGAAAAAGCGATGACTCCGGCCCCCCCTATTTTGACACATGTTACAATCGTGCGAATGCACATAAGAGATGCTTCTCTTTGCTTAGCGTCAAGGATGATTTGCTTACGCAGTTGTATCTGCTTAGCTTGATAGCCAAAGCCTCGGCTATCAGACTATTTTATGCCTAACTGCTTATCTTCCTATGACATTGTAGTTTCTAACTCGGGCGTGCACCCGCACTACGGGTACTGCTAGCATGAATGCCCAATAGAGTGTCATGTTGCTGTCTTCTTTTCGGACCATGAGTTGTTTCCTTCCTTCGTGTTTTAACTTTCAGAAGATGATTGATGTTCGCCTAGTCAACCAGGCGCTCTTTAGGCTTGCGTTCTTGAAGCCTCCGAGATGGCAAGCGCGCGCCCGCTGTCTCGGAGGGCATGGCGTTCCGAAACTGGTCGAGCGAGCGTGCGCCGGTAGCGGCGGCTGTGATGCGCCAACGAGAGCGCATTTGAACGGACCAATGTTTTTCTTTTTTTTTTCAATTTTTTTTCTGAAATTGTATTTTTATTGTTTTTTTATTTTTATTTTACTAAATTTGGCTTAGCCAACGTTGTTTGGTGCCGTTGGCTTAATTCGTTGATCTCACCAACGCCTCCTAGAAAAATTATGCCTAGAACATGAGCTGCGAATGCGCCGCCCTACCCTCAAATTTTACCCTTTCTCTCCGGTACAGGCGTTCGCTCTCTGCGAACACAGCAATATTCTCACAATTGCCTCCGAGCAGCTGTGATGTCACGTGACAAACAATACAATAATGTCACGTGACATAGCAGTACGGAGGCGAGCGGTCCCACACGGCAGATGGTCGCAACACGCGATAGGGGGCATAGCCTCCAAGATTCTGTGCTGACAGCAAGCTCGCAATTGAAGAGAGAGCCGCGTTCCAGGCATAATTTTTCTAGGAGGCTTTGATCTCACATATGGTATGATCTCCCGCCTCGCGCCCGCTGCGTTCGCTTTCAAAGGGGGAGAGGCAAACATCACCGTCGTCGTCGCTGTCTTCTCTCCTTCAATAGGGTGCCTTGATGCCCGCGAGCGGGGGCGCGCGCATCGAGGCACTCTATCCTTCAACCGCCTTCAACCACGCACTCCGTTCACTTTCCCTGCTCTCTCCGTCTCTCCGTGTTTTACTTTCCTATCTCCTTCTTTTTCCTCTCGTTGGCTGTCTTCTTCTGCTTCTACTTTCCTTCTATTCTTTTTATCCCTCCTTCCCCCCACCCCTATAAGGCACTGCGCCGTGTCGCCTGAAGGCAGACAGAAATTAGGTGCCTTTTTCCTCTTCATTGTAACCACTACCACCACCACCACCTTCACAGAAAGCCGGGGCGTAGCTAGAACGGCACGTGTACAACCATCTAGCGCCTTTGGCGGCTGTGTGTTTTTATAGTGCGAAATTGTCGAGAGACCATCAACGGGGCCAAATATTCACCATGGCTTACATGACCCATTGCTGCTGCGGCTGTATGACAGTCAGGACTGGCACCAAAGTGCTGGCCATTCTGAGTTTGGTGAGTGGTGGTCGGTTACATTCTGCGCGTTTCATGTTTCGAGCCGCGCTTCGTAGAGAACGCCGTATTTTTCGGAGGCGTCGCCGCCCCCATCTTGCGTCGTACCATGCATAGCGCTGGAGCTGCACTAGGTTTTCTTCTTACACGTATTAGCTTAAAGTTAAGCGTGTCGCCTCCTGTATTGTTTGCGACGCGTAAAGTCCGCGTGTGCTTACTTTAGACGCAGTCTGCCGTATCTCACAGAACGTAAACTGAAGCGCAAGCAAGTTTTGCCGTTTTAGCTGTACTGACGCAATTACCATTTAAATGTGAAAGTAAAGTGGAGGAACAGACTTGCCGCCGTCACAGGGGCCAATTCTACAGCCTTCGGATAACGCGTCCGTGAGTTATCTGAATATTGCACTGGACGGGTCCCATGCTGGCGGCAAGTTGCCTTTTCATCAACACATATATTTTTTTTTTCCTTTGCACCATAATTACCACAATACTGTTTAAACCGTACAATTAACGTCCCTCATGTGTTCCTTGGCTTCTTCTACAACTTTGCGTATGTCGTTTGATATTTCGACGTTGTCTTCCGCGTCGCCCGTGATTTCTTAGTTATTGCAGTATGAGACTGTGATTACCCTTTCTCAGTATTGATTTCCCTCGTTGTTTCTGCGTCTCCGGTCACATTCGCACGCTCTGGCAAATTTTAAGAGCATTTCGTGCGCGCGTGCGAGATTTTTCGAAGGTCGCCACCAGTGGTTGCGCAATGACGTACAAGGAAGATATTGCACCCGTCTGAGCAAGACCTTCGACGCAGCGCTATCAGCGTCTTCCGTGCTGGCCAGCCTAGCCTCATCCGGCGCGTTGCATCCTTCGCAGTCGCTCGTACCCTTTCTTGTCTGATAAACGGAGGGCGCGGCGCTCGGAGCACGCTGTTGCTTCTTTTCCGGACATGCTCTGTTCGAGCTCACCTGATATGATGCGTCAAAAAATGTGTGCTCTGCTCTTCAGTTCGAACGTTACCAGCTTTGTCAGGGTCGCTATATCAAGCTCAATGCGGTCGCTTGGCTGGTGCGCGGTATTTTGTAGAAAATCATTGCTGTTACGCTTTCTTTACGAGAAACGTGACGCACATGCGGTATTATGGATTTTTCTGTGCGCGATTTCGTTTTACAGCGCCGCTTTAGCAGTCTTATGTTTGCCTCTGCTAGAGCGTTGCTGGCGTGATAAAATTAAAGAGGAAAAAAAAAAATAATTCGTTTTTACAGGAAATGGTCAACAAATTTGTGACCATATTATGTGTGAGAGAACGAAGTTGTGAGGGTGGCGAATATTACAATGTAGCTTAACCCCACTGTATATTAATCAGTGTTGCTTAATAGCCTCCTGAACATTATGGAGCTAGAGCAATTGATTGCGCCCTGTAAATGCACCAGTGCATCGATATGATGCGAGAGCAATTGCCACACAAAAATGAATTGAAGAAAACATGGGAGCGGGTATTCTGTTTCTGACTTTCAGCCATAAAGAGTAAAATTAATTGGCAGTAGCATGCACAAACTTCTGTGAACTTGGGCCTACGTATGGGGTAAATAGTTTTGTATGGTCAAGACTAGATCAGAGCTTTTTGCAAGCCATGCTCATTTATTAGTGGCAGCTTTGCAACATGAATGTGCTACAATTAAATGCAGCTCATTCCAGCAGTTTACTCCAAGCTTTGTTTCAAGGTACCAGTATCATAACATACTAGGTATTATCCCTTCACACTCTGTGACTTTGCTTGCCCCGCCGTGGTGGTCTAGTGGCTAAGGTACTCGGCTGCTGACCCGCAGGGCGCGGGTTCGAATCGCGGCTGCGGCGGCTGCATTTCCGATGGAGGCGGAAATGTTGTAGGCCCGTGTTCTCAGATTTGGGTGCACGTTAAAGAACCCCAGGTGGTCTAAATTTCCGGAGCCCTCCACTACGGCGTCTCTCATAATCATAGAGTGGTTTTGGGACGTTAAACCCCACATATCAATCAATCAATCTGTGACTTTGCTTCCAGTTGACTAAGTGGTCCCTAATGTAGGGACATAAACAAATATATTTAGAGTAAGGACATATGTTACCTCTTACGGATTCAAATAAGTCCAAAGTGGGGTCACTCGTGGAGTAAAAAAGATAGGTGGGGCTAGGTAAAGGCCACACCATGCAGCCAAATTTATCTGGAATAAACACTTTCCGACAACACAGGTCTCTGTCTGCAGGACATAATCTTGCTTCATCTGCAGTGTAAAGCACAGCAGACACTGCTGCTAGTTAGCTCTAACATTGTCACAAGTATGCCTCTGCCAATTTGCATGCTGCTCGTAGATGTGAATGAGCCTGTATCTAAAGGAGTAATGCCACTGCCCTGCGGACTTGCATAGCTCAGGTTATCACTGTAACTCATTGTAACTGAAAATTGAGAGCCATTGTCAATACCCACAGAGAGTTTAACACTTAACACAGGGGATGTGCTAATAGTTAATTTTGAAACAAATTAAGTAATGGTGACACCGAATTGTATACTGTTCAAACAGTTTTCGAATGGCAAGACAACCATTTTGAATGCAGTCATAAAATTCCACAACATTTCGTTTGGAAAAAAAAAAAAATATGCATCTGCGTGCTTCACTGGCAAAGGTCATTAAAAGACTATAGTTTTTTGCCTGGAGAGACAGAATAAAATGTTTATTTCACGTTCTGCGTGAGAATGTCTGAGTAGGTGCTGTGTGGCATGGACGTCATCTAGCAGTAGATTTAAGGAATAGCTCTTATAGAATGCAAGGCTACAAGGGCAGTATTATGTAGTTTTAGTGAAGCGTAGGAAATGCTCATTTTTTCCTTCATAGTGTCACATTGTTAGCGCTGCATAATAATCACTACGGTCTTTAGAATTTTATTTCTATGTGTTTTAGAAATAAAGTAGCGCACTAGATAATGCTCGTATATTGATATTGCGTCCAATGTTCACTAGTATGAACGCCACCAGGAGAATAATGAGTGGCCGTTTAGCAAGGGGTTAAACTTTTGCTCTGGTGGCTGAATCGATTGACAGAAGGACAGACACAGACCAAGCTTTCTGCGTTGCAAGTATCCTTTAAAGCTATTCATCAGGTATCACTGATAAATATGAGTTTCTTCTGAATGAATCAAAGCACCTCAAATATGATAACTGAGGTCAGCTTATATATGGCAGTAACTGCAGTAGTCAATAAAATTAAGACAAAAAAAAAAAAGTAACGAATTCTGGCCCAAACACCACAAATACAGCTTAAGCTCTTATGAAGTAGATAAACCTGTTGTCACCCAGTCCACCTCAATGGAACAGTGGCTAGGGTGCTCAGCTGCCAACTTGAAGGTCGTGGGTTCGATCCCAGTCGTGGCAGTAACATTTTGATGGAGGCGACATGGCAGAGGCCCATGTATCATGTGGTGTAACTGCAGGCTAAAGAACACTGAATGCAGTTGTATTCCCTGACTTCGTTTATTACAAGATGAAAAAAAATTTGTTAATGTGATGCAGCTGAAGCATGGTAAAAACTCTGCCATATGTTCCGTTATCACAGGTTTATTATTAGTGGAGAAAATCGAGGTTGCTTTCATAAATTTAGTTCCAAAATATCCGCGCGTGACGTAAGAAATTTCATAATGTATTTGCAGTATTTTGTGGCATAGGCTCGAACTTTTCTGTAACTCCACATGCTAAGTATATGGCACCGACAGATTACAATGTACGTCATTTTTATTGATTGGAAGCTATTTAGGACCCAGTAGGCACCTTCAAAATTTCTTGTCACTGTGTTGGGTGCGACAATTTCAAGGTAACGTCAACACATATATTTTTTTTGGCACTTTTTTTCACTTACTAGGCGTTGTGTCACGAGAAGAGTGCTTTCGTGGTTGTGAAATTGTACTTTTTGTGAAATTGTACTTTACTATTATGCAAAAAATTGCTTTGCTCTTTAGTGTCCTTTTAATAAATTACGGCAGTCTCATGAACCCTTGGGTAATGTGCGCATTGGTTTATTACTTGAAAAACATTGCCCTTTCCATCGATTCATTTTTCGAAAGTTTAGAATATTTGCACACTCCTTTTTGACAGTGTCATCAGCATGGTTATAATGAACCACGTGTGTTCAGCAGCACACTCCCATGGTTACTGTGTAAGTTACGGTCTTTAGGCAGAAACACTTCTCGGCTTGCATGCAACCCTCCTTCTACAGCAACGCCAATGTCTACACCATGTCGCATTTTTGGCTTGCTAAAACTCTGCACGCATTTCCACATTTAGTTGCTCTCGCACCACAGCCAGCGTTCATAGACTAAGTGTCATGTTTGTTGTTCTGAAGATACATCATTTAGAAACAAAAATTTATTTTTCTGAGGAAGTATCGAAAGGGTTTTTACTGTTTTTGCATTCACTCGTACGGCTTAGCTACCATCATATTGTAGGGAACTATGCGAACGACGACGAAGCAGCAAGAGACGGCAAGCCACAGCGTTGGTGCACACGCGCGACCCGAGCCTGCGCTTGTTTTGTATTTTTCGGCCTGTTGACGTTCCTCGCTCTTCTGGTGTTCCTCGGCCTTCCAGGAGGTCTGTACGTAAATAAACTACGTGACATTTGGTGGAGTTGTGTGGACTCCCATACAAACCTGGAACTTCGCTCCCGTAAGTTTCCCCCTCTACGTGACACAAACATGGCCACCGAGGCTCCTCTCCAGGTGGGACCTTCGACCGTCCATGTCACTTGAGGCACCGTGTATCAACAAGATCCTCCTATCTTCATGGGCTCCACCGAGTCGGACGTCGAAGATTGGTTGGCGAGGTACGAAAAAGTCGGCGCAAGTAACAAATGGGACGACCCAAGTAAGCTGGGCTACGTCATGTTCTACCTGGCGGACACAGCGCAACTGTGGTTTAATAACCATGCAGCTGACATTCCTACGTGGTCTCCATTCAAGATTGCTGTTACGGACGTCTTTGGA